ACTGGATTTGCACATCTCTTTAGTATGTAAGTGCACATTTAAAACTGTGATAACTTTTTTGGTCATATACACCTCTACCCTCCAGCAAAGTATGTTTACTTCTCTGACCTGCAATAATGTCATGAAGAGGATGACTAACATTGTCCAATATATTCTGTCCTTACTTTCGCACGCATCGCTCCACTTCAATCCTCAGTGAGTCCTTGCACTTGCCTAAAACTGAGCTAGCCTTTTTTTATCAGCTGGTCAAGCTGCATAGTGTTCTTGTCAGGCATGTACCCTCAGGAGATCACACCATAAATAAGAACACTCTCCACCACTGACTGATAGAACATCTCCAGCATTTCACTGCACACATCAAAAGACCTGAGCCTCCTCAACAAAAAGAGTCGGCTCTGTCCATTTCGGTAGACAGCGTCAGTCCAGTCAAGTTTGTTGTCCAGATTTTGCAGTGTTCCGCAGATGGCCATTCTTATCACTCCAGTCACTGAAGGCTGTTATCAGGTCCCTGTACTCACCTTCCGGCCCATTCCTAATGCACGCCACAATAGCCATGTCATCAGAGTATTTCTGAATGTGGCAGAATTCAGATTTTTGTTGGGAGTCGGCCGTGTACCATGTGAACAGGAATGGAGCTAGCACAGTCCCCTGAGGAGCCCCTGTGTTGCTAACCACCGTACCAGAGACACAGTTCCCCAGCCTGACAAACTGTGGTCATCCTGTCAGGTAATGTGTGATCCAGGCAGTGAGAGAGGAAGTTTGTGTCTTAGAAGAGGGGGCTGGATGGTGTTGAGAGCGCTCGAAAAATCAAAGAACATAATCCTCACATAACTACCCAGCGCCTCCAAGTGGGAGTAGACCCTGTGGAGCATGTAAAGCACAGCATCATCCACTCCAATATGCTGCTGGTACGCAAACTGTGGAGAGTCCATTGCATGTCAAACCTGTTGTCCAAGACTGCGAAGAAGTAACCGTTCCAGTGTCTTCATGATGTGTGATGTGAGAGCCACCGGCCAATAGTAATTTATCTTGTCTGGACGGCCTACTTTAGGTACTGGTACGAGACATGGTGTTTTCCAGAGATGCGAAACTTTCGCCTTCCGTGGAGTGAGGTTAAAGATCCACTGGAGTGGTTCCGCCAATTGGGCTGCACAGACTTTAAGCAGTCTGGGACACACCCCATCAGGACCAGCTGCTTTTCCAGGATGCAGCCTCTGAAGCTCTGACCTCACATCACCAATTGTGAAGAACAGGGGAGGGGGTCCCAGGTGAGGGGGAAGTTGCAGCAGCAGTGTGAGGAGTGCAGCTATGTGTGGAGGAGATAGGGAGAGGAATCTTCCAGCTAAAGTAGTGGTAGAGGGAATGAGTGAGGCTATATCTGCTGGTGCTGGACACACACTAACCACCATGTCAAGACATTGGCTTTTATCAACATCATCATCACTCGTGGTAAACTGGCAGCTATTTTTACTATAGCCAGTGATGGTCCTCATTCCCCTCCACACCTCTTTGGTGTCATTTTGCTGCAGCTTTCTCTCTACTTTCTTTTTGTAGTTCGTCCTTGCCTGCTTTAATCAATAAATCTTTATTTGTATAGCTTCAACGTATCTTTAATGCCCTCTTCATCTCATGTTGCACACTCTTGAGCTTCACCCTGTCTCCATCCCTAAAGGCCTCCCTTTTTCTTGGATGTTACTAGTGATCCAGGGTTTGTTATTGGGAAAGCACTGTACAGTCCTTACTGGTATCACAGTTTCCCAGCAAAAATGAATATAGTATGTAGTGTGTTCAACTATTCTGTCCATGTTAACGTCCGAGTTGTTCCCTTGTGACTCCAGCAGTACACTCCAATCTGTGCGCTCAAAGCAGTCCCTTAAAGAATCACTAGCCTCTGGTGTCCACTTCCTGGATGAGCAAATGGCTGCATGCTGACTAAGTACACAGGGTTCATAGGAAGGCTGAAGAAAGACCAGGTTGTGATCTGATCTGCCTAGTGGTGGTACAGCTGAAGCACTATAAGCTTCTTTGCTGTTAGCATACAGCAGATCAAGTGTTTTATTTTCCCTTGTGTGACAGTCAACAAACTGTGAAAAGCCAGTCAGATGGGAGTTGATGTTGATATGATTAAAATCTCAGGATATTGGGATGAACGCATCAGGGTGATGAGTCTGTATTCTTGCCACAGTTTCATGGATGACATCACATGCCACCATAGCAACCACTGGTGGTGGAATGTAAACAACAATGGCGACCATGTGAGAGAACTACCTCGGTACATAATACAGTCTGAGACCAACTGCCAAAAGTTCAATATCCTGACAGTACAGCTTTCACAGTTATATGACCAGGGTTACACCACCGATTGTTCTCAAACAGAACCAGGCCCCCACCTTTGCACTTTGCACTCGCATCTCTGTCCGTAGCGAAACCAGTTTAGTCGACAGAAGTGTCCGGGATGTTGTTGTTCAGCCAGGTCTCCGTAAAACACGAGACTACACTCACAATATGTCCCTCGGTTTTTACAAGTGCCTCCAGCTCTTCACATTTGTTGGACAGGGAGTTGACATTCCCCATGAGGATCGAAGGTAGGAAAGGCTTAAATCTCCGAGCCTTACGTTTAGCCCGTTTAGTACCCGACATGCCTTCTTAAGCTCAACCAGGATGTGTTGACAAACTACCAGCATATCGTTGTATGAATATCATTTTAAAGCAAATGTATCCTATATATTCATTATTTAACTTAAGCAATTAATTCAAGTTTCTGCAGTTAGCCTGAGTAATTTTCTTGAAATTAATGTAGATAAGTTTTTAAAGAGCAGTCCAGCTAAAAATACATAACAAGTATTGACTTTGACTGGTTCACTGTAGCTCAGTCTGCTACATTTCTTAGTAGGTGGCTTCAGTATTTTGAACTTTGTTTATATCCACTTTTTGTCTTATTTCAAGCGATTTACAATATTTCATTGCTCTATAAATCACATTTTACTCATGTTACACTTCTGCTACTACAAAATTTCAAAAATGTTTGTGTTAGCAAAAGATTATTTGTAACATAATGGTGATGAACACTATTTGGAGGGGGCCCCTGTAAATTTTTGCCTATGGCCCCAACAGACTCTAGAATCGTCACTGGCTTTGAGGAGTTTGTAACTGTTTATGAAACAGACTGAAATTAATATTGATGCCTTTTTGTGATATAAAAAAGCAAACAAGCATAAACATTGACTCAGATGGGGTTTGGACAAAGGGAGTGACAGCATTCTGCATAAAAAGCCTATTTTGAACACAGCAGATGACTGATACATTTGACTATGGAAAGAAAGCAGGGTGACACTTTTGTTCAAAAACAACCCATGTCAGCAAAGAGATTAAAGGGATACTTCACCCATTTGTATTAAGCTTTGTATCATTAGAAACCTGATAGTATTTTTGAATGGTCGTGCATCCCGCCCTCATTTTCCCCTGAGATGGGAAATCTTTGTATTTTTAAGTCTAAAAAAGGAGCTTCCAGTGACGCAAAATTATAATTTGTGCGTCACTGGAAGCTGTTGTGATTAGCGGGGTGAAACTACAACGCTTGTTCCTCATATTTTCGACCACTGACGCCACAGACCACTCACAGATCAGTGGGTGGGAACTCACTATTCACTGAACTTAGTGAATAAATGGCCTTTTGAAGCAACAGTAAAACTACATAAATAGTTAAAGGTTACTGATTTCATCAGAAATGTGTTTAAAAAATGAATCTTTAGTAGTAATACCTTTATAACACTGTCAGTGTTTCAAAGCTTATTTTTCATCATTTGAGATGCTGGCCACACTGAACTATAGCCTTCACAGAGTGTGTTTACCCTTAAACCGCCAGAAGCTCTCGTCTGATGTCTCCTCCTTAAGCCTACACAGACATCTGCTGCATTTCACATTTTTATGTTTTACATTTATTTTTTATAAAAAGTTGTGAAATAAATGTTGGTAAAGTGGCTGTTCTTGTAAATCTGACAACAATCATACATTTTTATAAGTAAGCAGTCTTTTGGTCATAAGCTGCACCTCTTTTTATAATTTAAAATCAAAACATATCTTGATTGAAATAAGATTAGTGCAATTCAGGTTGGTATGTAAAGTAAGTCATGAAGGACTGATCAGATGCTATCAAGCAGTTAGTGCTAACACTATACTAAAAGTACAAACTAAATTTGTGAAAAAATTCATTTGCATTTGTTAACAACTAAAAAGTGAATTTAAAGTATTGGTGTGAGAAAGTCATTGGTATTTGCAGGGCAAATTAAATCAATATATTGTACATTTAACCTGAAATTTGGAAAGTGTCAACCCACAGACCCCTTTAATCACCTTATATTCAACTTTAGCAACTGTAAAAAAAAAATTATAATAAAGCTAAAGAACGTTTTTGGGATCACAAAGTTCACTAAATCAGATTTTTTTTTTCCAACACTGAGGGGTTTCAGGGAAAAGAGGGAGATCTTTATGTCAATTGAAACATATTTGACTCCTCGCTCATGCTCGTTATCATTAGGAGGTTTAGACCCATGGCATGGACACTCAAAACGAGCTGACAGAGCACACGGGATGGTACAATGACAAACACAGCAACACCAGTGATACACCTGCTCATCCCACATGAGCAGAAATAAGAAAATTACGTTGCTGCATAATCGAGAATTCAAATGGTTACGTCACTGACAGACGCTGACGTCATTATGTTTGTTAATAATACGCATCTCGATGCGGCTGATCAGCTTTGTCTAGTAAAGGCCCGTTGTGCACACAAAGAGCTGGAACACCCAGCGCCATTCACCCACATCACCCAAACCTTCCGCCTCGTCTGAGCGGAGGAGCCGCAGTGTGGGTGCTGCTGCCATAACCCACCATTCCATGACATATCAAAAGCACAGACATGCAACACAAATCCCGCAACCACAGACCCATCCTCATCGTCAGGCCTGTTTTTTTTTTTTTTTTTTCGCAGTATCTCTTACCTCTCAGATGAAAATTTACTCGAGCATTAATCCATGATAAGGACACTGTTATCGCTGCCTCTCGATCACGTTTCTCTCAACGTTGCGGCACAGATAGCGAAATAAATAATTATTTCGAGGTAGCCCTGCCCGTTATGTCCTACTGGGAGGCGAGAGATGCGCCTACCGAGCCCATGGATACAAGAGAAGCACACGGGTCCAAAATCAGGCAAACGAATAGATGAGCCGATACACAGCCTCTCCAAAACAGCTTGAATGTACACCAAAAATATCTCTTCTGTAGGCCTATTTGATATCACCTAGTCCTCCTCCACAACAGAGGGGCCCTCTCTATCTCGTAATTTCTTCTCCACGCACACGCATACACACGCAGGCACACACGCAGAGCAGATCTGCCTCATTTAAAGAGACAGGATAGGGCAGCTGGAGCAGCGCTGAGCACAGAGCCACTCTGTCAGCGTCTTATGTAACAGCCTCTGCTTCTGATTGTTCTGCAGTCCAGAGAAGCTAAATTAAAAATTAACCACAAGAAACTGCTTTACCAGTATATCAGATCATTTAATTTGCTAGTCATGCAATCAGATATTTAAAACCAGGGGGAACGCTGCTTGTCTCGGTAACATCTTGGAGGATGAGTTGAGTTTCCTCAGTCAATTGCCTTTTTGAAAAATGTTCCAGCAGCATTATACTGTGTCATTGTAAAACAGATGATCATTGTGTTGTTGCTCAAAATGAACATGTCAAACTGTGATGTAAATGGTAAATGGACATGAGCTTGTATAGCGCTTTTCTAGTCTTCTGACTACTCAAAGCGCTTTGACGCTGCATGTCACACCTACCCACGGTGGCAGAGGACTCCATGTAATGTATATGTAGCAATTGCAGGAGTTTCACCTGAGCTCATTCATTTTGGCATTGCATTTGGGGCCTTCAATTACATAACAAACATATTTATGTAACTATTCAAATGCATCCCCACAAAGATGGACACAAGAAGTTATATTTTAGCTGCGCCAGTGGCTGAGTAATTTGGGCAAGTACCCCACGTGCAGAGGCTGTAGTCCTTGAAGCGGGCGGCCCAGGTTTGGGTCTAAACGGATGTGCTTTCCCATATGTCGTTCCCCACTCTCTCTATCCATAATTAATTAATTTTTAAATGTATATTTTAGTCCTTGGTGCAATGTGCAACCATTTGAGATGGCCAGTCCATCTCTGGTGAATTAACCATGGTTGATCCTCCCCCTAACTCATACTGGGTTTCAGGGGGTTTCTATACTATTTACAACTTTAAGTTGTTTAATTTTAAATCAGAGTCCCAAAATTATAGTTCACTTAGTAAGACTGAAAATATTGGCTATATTTTTCTTTAAACTAGATATCCCTATACGTTATCTCATTGATTCTCCCAAGAATCCCATCTCCACAGCCTAATCCTGCACTCATGAGTTAATCTAATGTTGGATTGCGAATTGCTTCTACATTTGTGCAAGAACCCTACTTTCAGCTTTTTCAAAACTTGACTATATCTAGTTAGCCATGTTCTTTCAACAAGTATTTACAATCCATAATCATAGTTAAACTGTGTAAGACTGACATTTGGAGCAATCAAGACCAGGAGGCAGAAGATGACGCAAACTGAAAATGTGATTCATCCTATAATTCCTGCTCTGAAAATAATTTTATCTGATGGATTCCTCTAAGACTGAAAAAACGGCACTCCTTTTCCATTAAGGCTTTGTTACCTTGTTGAAGGTATACAGGTAGGTGTTTGACATTTTACATGAAGGTATTCGTTTTTATCACACATTTAATCTAAATATATTGATTCAATTCAACAAATTAAGTAGGCCATTAAACAGTTGTTCCCAGCTCAACGTATTCACATCTTACTGTATGAATTAATCCTGGTGGAGAGAATGGGCAGCAACTTGATTCACTGTTTTACACCTTGATGGTTTACCACTCCAAAATGTACTGGATTTGTTTCAGCAAACCAAAACTCACCAATAGGGTAGCACTTAACCTGACAGTCAGGGGCGTCATATAAACCAAAATTATAGTTCCATTTGAGCAATTTGTAATCAATTAAAAAGGGTAAACTGTGTATGACTTCTCATCAGACACAGTCTCATTCAATGTGAACTCATTCACAGGGCTCATTGCACTAAAGTGAGACCGTCCTAAATCTACAAAGATGTGAAAGAAGTTTCCTGAAAATCTTACTTCATAGGACTATATAGCCTTGTTGGCAATTCAATTATTTTTGCTCAGATGGAATGGTAAAGCTATGGTAATTAGATTCATTGTTTACTTAGTTGTGTTAAGTTAGAGAATATTATACACACACTAACAGGTTCCCTGAACAAATTCTATGCAATGTGGTCATGTAATTTGTTAAATGACTACATTTCACTGCAGCTCTAGAGTGATGCTTGTATAGTACCTTGTTTCTTGCCTTCTTGACTACTCAAAGCCCTTTTACACTGCAGGCCACACCTTCCCATTCACACACTGATGGCAGAGGTTGCTATGTAAAGTGACCATCAGAAGTCGACCATCGACCACACTCCACCGACAAAGCAGCAGGAGCAACTTGGGGTGTTGGAGTGTCTTGCCCATGGACACATCAGACATGCAGCAGGACCAACAAATCTGACTATTAAATGTGGTCTGTTAAATATTAGATAATTGGCATCAAATCTCTATCAGTTGATGATCTGATATCAGACAATCATATCAATTTACTTTTTTAACACAAACCTGGCTGTGTCAAGATTAATACATTAATTTAAATTAATCTTGCTTCAGAGTGATGTTAGGACCACCCACCTCATTTACATTTATTAATTTCCTCGTACAACATGGACACAGAAATACAGAAACAAATATAAGTGAAAAGGTAAAAATGTCTGAATATATAACTGTAGAAATAGTCAAATATAACAGGAATAAATATGAAAATACAGAAATAGATTTTTTCATTAACAAAATGTATTGATCCATTAATTCCAGCAAATATTCATTTTTCCTAAATGTACCTATTCATACTTTTTTTTTTTATTAATTATTTATTCATTCATTTTATTTTATTTCTTCTACTTCAGTCATTTTTTGTCCCTCATAGCAGCGGCCTGTTGTTTGATTTCTGATAAGCGCCTGAATTAAATAAAAAAAGGGTTTAATTCATGTTTCATTTTGTTTATAATCCATGTTTCAGCACTTGTGAAATGTCCTTCAGATTCATGATGGAGAATAACAAACATAATAATTGTGAGAGCTTGAGAAAAGTTAACAAGGCAGGTTCCAGGACCTGATATTAACCTCGACTGTTTTTCTCCAATCAACCTTTCAGAACTAAATTCAATTATTTCTGCGCCCAAGCCGTCAACCTGTCTTTTAGACCCAATCCCAACCAAGCTGATTAAGGAAGTATCTCCCTTAGTTAGCAACTCTATATTAGATTTGATCAATATGTCTTTACTGGCAGGCTATGTACCACAGTCATTTAAAGTAGCGGTAATCAAACCTCTACTCAAAAAAACTACATTAGATTCAGGAACTCTAGCTAACTATAGGCCTATATCCAACCTTCCTTTTATCGCAAAGATCCTGGAGAAAGTGGTAGCTAATCAATTGTGGGAATTTCTCTGTGGCAACGGTTTATTTGAGGAATTTCAGTCAGGATTTTGAGTCCACCATAGCACTGAGACTGCACTAGTTAAAGTTACAAACGATCTGCTTCTAGCTTCAGACAGCTGACTTCTCTCTGTGCTTGTCCTGTTAGATCTAAGTGCTGCTTTTGACACTATTGACCGTCAAATCCTATTACAGAGACTAGAACAATTACTTTGAATGACAGGGACTGTTTTAAGTTGGTTTGAATCCTAGATCGATCTCAGTTTGTACATGTTAATGATAAGTCCTCTATGTACACCAAAGTTAGCAATGGAGTGCCACAAGGTTCAGTGCTTGGACCAATTCTCTTTACATTATATATGCTTCCTCTGGGTAATATTATGAGGAATCACTCCATAAATGTTCATTGTTATGCAGATAATACTCAGCTTTACGTATCAATGAAGCCTGATGGCACCAATCAGTTATGTAAACTAGAAACGTGCCTTAAAGACATTAGGACCTGGATGACCAGAAATGTTTTGCTACTTAACTCAGAGAAGACTGAGGGCGCGGTCACACTGGCCATCCGTACCGTGCCCAAGCACGCTTCAACGCTAAAGTCCAGTTCGTTTGACCAGTGTGACCGCTCCGTATCGTGCTCAGGCACGGTACACTTCCTTGGCTTTGGCATACTTCGGAGAAGTGTGCTTCGGCACGGTACACTTCATGCACGAGTACAAGCACGCGGGTACACAACGCTGACAGCCTTCATTATGGAGAAATCCAGAGTTTCATGTCTGTATCTGACTAACATGACTCAATATAAGCCACAAAGTAGCTGTCATGTTCTGTGTCTTGTTCTCCGATTTGTGTGGGCGTCCGCGCGGACTTGGCTGCGCGTCTATTTTTTTAAAAAAAAATTTATTGCTGTGTCTGATTAAAATGGCTTAAAAATAAGCTGTAAAGTCAGTGAAGTAGCTGTCATGCTCTGTGTTTTTCTCTGATGTGCAGACACGGACTCAACTGCACATCTTTTTTTCTCTCTCGCTCTCTCTCGTCCGCCTGTTTGTAAACTGAGCACACTTCATAATAACATAAAGCTTGCATGTCTTGTATTACGACGTTATGTACAAGAGGTAATCGTGCTTAGGCACGGATAGTCCTGTGTAGTGTGACCGCGTGCCGTGCCGGCCAGCGTGGGAATAGCACAGCGGGGGGGCAATTGTGCTTGGGTACAGCACGGTACAGATGATCAGTGTGACCGCGCCCTGAAGTTATTGTGCTAGGCCTTAATAAACTTCAGAGATACTTTATCTAATGATATAACTGTCCTAGATGGCATCCGCCTGGCCTCTAGCACCACTGTCAGGAATCTATGAGTTCTATTTGATCAAGATATGTCCTTTAACTCTTACATAAAACACCTTTCAATGACAGCCTATTTTCACCTTCGTAATCTATCTAAGATCTGGCACCATGGCTGTTTCGTCATGAGTCTGGGATCCTGCCGAAGGTTTCTGCCTTGTAATAAGGCAGTTTTTTCTTACCAATGTAATTTTTGCTGCTTTGCTAAAGTGCTCATGATGGATTAAGCCAGGTCTTGTAATGTAGCAATAAGTAAGGTCTTTTACCTGCTTTTTTTTTTAACATAAAAATGAGTACGGTCTTTTTACCTGCTCTTTTGTAATATTAAAAAACAAAGAGAAAGGTCTTTTACCTGCTTTTTGTAAAGTGTCTCGAGAA